GTCCATTCCAGTAATAAGCGAGAGGGTGCACTGAATCATCCGTAAAATGACCAATGTCGTGACTGTGGTCGGAGAATCAAGAAATTTCTAGGCAGGAACAGGAGAACAGTGTAAAGAGTCATCGCGCAGTGGGATGAAAAACCCACCTTACGGGTCACCGGTAACAATATTAGCAATGTTTGAAACTTTGCTGCGCAGATCTGAACAATTTCCGTGTAAATTTTCAGAGCACACCGCTTTCAAAAAGGCGTACTCTGTGCGGATATTAGATACAAATTTTCCGAACTACGCGCACATTGAATGTATCAAAACTTAGCTTTATTGTATCTCATTTGAACGCAGTACTTAAAAGCTGCAAGCTCCCCACTCGCTGAAGGCATGCGGCACAGTTAGAAGTCAGGAAATAACCCCTACTTTTGGGATTCGAAGAATTTCATCAGGTACATATTGGAAAATATGTTAACCGGACGGTAGAAGCGATCCTTGCTCTTCCTCATCAAAATGGATCATTGTCGTCAAGCACGTCGTTCTCCAAGATACAGTCAAACGCGGTTCTAGCACACGATAAACGATTATTTCTAGGGGTATCGCAGCAACCATAGAGCAACTTGCGCTTTACATTGTTCGCTTAAATACGAAATGGTTTACTCACTATTGTTGGGTTTTCCCGCCACACAGCTGGTAAACATTTTTGCGCCGAATTGAATGACGCTCACCGCCTAAAGCGGGTATTTTCACAAAAATTTCAAAAATCCAGAGCGTTTTAGCAATTTTTTATCATTCATCTTTTCCTCATCAAACGAGGAACTGGATTTGTTTTTTGGTAAACAGAATCGAGTTTGTGAAAGCTCGCATTTCATAAACGTTACGATGCTGCTAGGGAAAGCTTGTGGTTCCGCTTCCGAAACACCGACAAGGTAGCGCAACATTACATGGAATTCGCCCGCTACTAGTTAATTCTTGAAAGGTGGTCAACGTTTAAATGTACCCCCATGTAAATTCCACACCACAGTGCCTACAGGCACGGTGGTTGTGATGCAGTTGGACGGCATTCCACCTTTTTGGCAAGCGCGTGTGTCGGCCACAAGGCTATAGGATAACCTTTTTGGCTGACTACCTTCGGCAGCCTGGGACACAGTTTTGGATATCGGTGAACTTGAGCACATGTCATATCTTGGGGGACGGCAACACCCATAAAATAATGAAAACAAGTGGGGATGTCTTGGGGCTCGAGAATGGATCGCTTGTTACCAGCGTTTTTTCTGTCAAGAAGGTGCAACAACAGAATAATAAATTATTCTTTCATCAAGAGAGCGAAACAATTTCCTTTTTGGTCGACTCGGTAGTGGGATGGGCGAATGTTTATCTAGCTAAGATAGACGAAGTTTGAAAAGTTGCGCCGCTCCATCAGGAGTGTAAAAAACGGAGGGACGTAGGAAAATTTCCTTAAAAAATTTCCAATAATACACGGATGGCCGCCAAAATAGGTGAGAGGCGGTGGAAATTGTAAAATATTTGCAAGTACATACACCTCACCTGTCTGCCAGCAGCGGCCTAGCATGTTCTCGTGGGTTAATGCTGAAAACCGGACAACACGAAGTTGCACATGTACGACTGGATTATTTTGCCCGAGAAATATTTTGGTTCTCTCAAGGCAGATTGAAAGGGATGCGTGCGTCCTCGCGTCTTCCGCCAACTGTATCAAGCTATGTACATTGTAGTTGACTGCGGCCTAGTTGTATATATATATATATATATGAAGGGCTATGTATAACGGCTGTTACGGGAAGTGGCATCAAACGAAAAATACGATAAGAAAGCATATGCACCATAACATACAAATGTCGGTGCAAACAGTAACCGCAGGAACAGGTCTTTCCCGTAGTAAGACCATTCGAACTCTGCAGCTCTCCCACAGATCGGTGTCAACGGCAGAGCGACAGCCACCCTGGATCTCGGTAGGAATATTAGTGCACATAGTTAAGCTAGCCCTTTAAGTTCGTTTTCACTGCATGCGAAAAGTGATAGAAATAGCATGCCGGTCTACCGAACAAAACCTGCAGCATTTGTCAACTCACGCCAATTCGCGAGCATATAATAGACAGGAAAATACTTCACCATATCTGTTGATAGCTACCCCAGTCGCTGCACACTAGTGTATTGCTCTGCATTGCTTTTGAACCAAATGTTGCCTTTTTTCCCAAACGTGTTCATTTTTGGCAAAATCACCCTCTTGCCAGATTTATCCCACGAACCACATACTTATCGCCTCCGGAACAGTCACAGTTGCCTTTTATGAGTCAAGTGAACCACCTGCTTGACTTGTTGCAAGTTTTCGGCGACAGACAGGTGTGTAGACACTTCCTTGCAGCTGGCCAACACGATCACGTTCCCAAACCCAGCGCAATTTACAAACCATTCTCCGGAGTTAGCAATGGACTTTTTGTGCCCAGCAAGCTTAGTTTATCATAAACTGCCTGGCTGCAGTTTATTCCAATGCAGTTTCAGGCGTTCGAAGTAGGGGCGTTAGGAGTACCGTTCTATGATTCTATTTTTTCTCCAAGCCTGTTCCCAATGAAACATTCCACCTGCTTGTGTGCGATTCAGCGTGTAGATACATGCCATAGAAAATGTTTCGCCGGATTAGCTGGCTGTATTTCTGGGGCTTTCGGGCTAATCGCGGTGTTGTTGAGGCAAGAGAAGCAGCAACATGCAGTTGAAAACTTGGAACGCCATTAGATATGCGAAGAATAGTGCGTATCTTCTGCGATGAAACAACGGTACAAGATACAATATCACTGGTGCGACAGCAAAGGAACGCTGACCGAAATGAAGCGAGCGACACAGCAGCTGCCAAAAAATCAACTGCTGCAACAGAATATGCTCAGAACTAATTGACTACTACGAGCGGAATCTCAGTTTCTATGGCGAATATTTCGCATCCAATCCGGATTTAGACGAATGCACCCGTAGAATTTCGTCGGAAGTGTGGCATATCTCATGTCTGCTTGCCGTCGTTTCACCGATAGTTGTACAGCAAGGCGGAACACCCTGAAGCGTGCAATTCAGAGGTCCGAAAAAGGGGCCGACGGAAGAAATTATACCGAGGTTGCTGTTGAAAGATTGAGTGACGTTGATGCCAAACCCACCAAATGTAGTGTCTTCAGCAGATTCACATCCACAGAGGAAACTCCAAACACCATACAACACAATCCGGCATCCAAAAATGTACTACAACAAACGGATGGAGTCAGAACAACCTGCATCAAAGCGCAAGCTCACGCTACTTTAGCGAAGGCTGTTGGTCCGCGACATCAGCAGTAGAATCCTTAAAGTAGATTCCGGAACACATCATTTGGGGGTGCGGGAAAGTGCCTGTAAGATTCATGTTGGCCCGGTCGAGTACAGCAAGCGCACTAACGAAATCCGTTTGACAAATGCGGATATCCTGCATACCGGACAGGCTGAATTGAGCCCAGAGATTCTTCTGGACAATTCTAAACTCGGCATCGTTGTGGAAGATTCTCCAGCTGCTCCTTCGGTGGCTCAGCCGGAACATGCATTGCGGCCAAAATGCGGTACGGAGTGGCTCCACGAGCCGGTGAAGTCACTGCATTTTACCCCTCGATTTCGAAGCTAAGTCAACACACTGCAAGGAGGATGTTAGGCAGAATTTCGCACATATTCTGCTTTACCGTTTGCAGTTATGTGCTGCTGCAACCAATGACCTTATTCCTTACGCGACAGAATACACTGCAAGAGGATGTTAGGCAGAATTTCGCACATATTCTGCTTTACCGTTTGCAGTTATGTGCTGCTGCAACCAATGACCTTATTCCTTACGCGACAGAATTGAGCCATTCTCTGGGACAGGGTCTTCGGCCTTAATTACGGAATCAAGTGGTCTTGTCTAGATATCATCCCCAGCTTATATACTTGATCTTGAATCAGCTTTCTAATGAAAACAAATTTCTTCCAGTGTTGTTTTCAATTAATCAAATATAAGCCATATATAATTATGTGGACATCATTCATTTCAGTGACATCCCTGCCAGGTGGGACACTAATCCCGAGCAAAGTTAACCGACATATGCAGCCGGGTCTGATAGTTACGACACCGAAAATCCATGTGGGGTTTCTCAGCAAACATCCTTATCTGACGATTGTTTTCCGCCAAGAGTCTAACCTATAAGCTGGAAGAAATGCGCGAACAATGAGGAAGTATGGGATCGAGACTTAGGCATAATTTCCCTGGGTCGGTCTTGTTTTGTCGTTTAGTGGCCGCCGTTCACCAGAATATCACAAGCAAAAAAGGGTTGGGCGTTTCCCTTTAAGGTCTAGCAGAAAAGCAGTAGACTTGCCAACTCGAAAACTTGAATATAAAAGCGTCTAAAAGTTCTTTAAACTGGGTACGAATTGGACCACGAACCATCGTCGTAGGAAGGTTGTCCCCCACAACAAATACTTTGCTAGATGTGCTTGAAAATATTCTTACAATGTCCCCAACGTGTGTTAGCTGCGTCAACTTTGAGAACATGTTCTCCGAAGCTTGTTCAAGAACGACATAAGTAATCAGGAGGCTTCCTCGGAGGTGATGATACTCCAGGGGAAAGAGGTAAAGGAGTGTTGTGGAGTGTAGGTAGCTCTGGTGCGCTGTTTAGTAGTTGGTCTGTTCTCCGAGCTTGGCAGTTAGATCGCAAACCTTTCATCACCAATCGAGGTAACATCGTCAGTGCGGGGTTGAGTGGGAAGTAGAGCACTACGAGACGCGTTTCATGATAAACGGATTTCAGGCCGGTAGCCTTCTTCCTGGGAGCTCTTTGACACGCTCAGTGAAGGCCATGTCTTTCCTGCGTCCTGGGTAGACAACTTGCTTGGCATATCCAAGAAGCGTTCTGGCATAAGCCTCATAGAACGCTTTATAGTTCACGTGAGCAACAAGATGGCAGGTACTTCTATTCATCCGTGGAACCACAAATGCCTTTTGAGCCGACTTCTCATGGTGAAGTGAAAAGAACACATTTGAAAAGAGCCAGACAACTTATACCTTTTTGGTATCTATTCCCGTAATGTCTCCTTGTCCATTCTCATCAAACACGACAGAAGCGTTCACTGATTCACCTCCGAATGAAATATGGACGCACTTTTTGTCATTCAGAATGTGCCAGTCAAGCGACAACTGCATTGCGGCATCGGCAGACATTTTAGGACGGGAGCTGGCATTAGAGCTCCAGGACAATAAACAGAAAGTAGGCACGATCTCGGAGGAAAATGTGCAAGGCCCTTGACGTAGATCGGAAGCAGAAGTGGTTCCAAAACGGAACCTTAGGTAACTCCAAATGGACATCAGTGATGAAAGGGAGTAGGTCACGTCTAATTTCACTTGGAATGTTCTGTTTGATAAGAACGCCTTAATGCAGTGTAAACTTTTCACTCAAATCTAATAAGTCTCGAGCTTGTGTGAGACTCGATCGGATTCTTTTGGGAAGTCGAGAAATATAGCATCCGACATGAGTCCTTCGTCCTTAACTTGGACCAAGCTGTTCGTAAATACAAAGGTTTTCATCACGCAAGAACGGTTCAGGAGGAATTCGTGTTGTGCTGGCTGGTGATATCAAGTTGTTGGTACTGAGGTGATTTAAAGTGGCCCGCTTGAGAATGCGTTCCATCACCCTGCATGGTACACTAATGAGACTCGTAAGCCTGTAGCTGCTGCGCGATAGGTGGTCACTAGTTTTGCATATTTGCGTGACAGTCACTTTCTTCAAAGCAGAGGGAAGGCTTTCCTCGCCAGGCGACTGACGAAACACCAGGTCGAAATTCTTTGGTAGTATGAGCGACGTTATTTTCAGGACCCTTGGATGGACCATGTCTGCCCACAGCACGCTGAAGGGGTTTGTCTAGTGCAAGAGTTGACGAGTGTCGTCCGTATTGAAGAAGTAGTTTATTAGAGGCCATTCCCAGTTACGCCTTGATAAAGTTGCTCGTGACAAAGTCGCCTGAGAAATGAGGACCCTTGGGCGGCTTCAGAGTGTCCAGGCATTAATATTCAGCATCACATCACAAAACAGATACTTTAGCGCGCCATACCGACTGATCAAGCGGTTGCAGCCTGAAAACGTTAACCGGAGGGTTGCATATCAGATCCTTCTAGTTCTCAATCGTGAATCTCGTTATAGACCAGGAAGCTTTAATGGTCAACCTCGGTAAGGAAGAATCAGTTTACCTTAGACGTAGGTGAAAGTACAGGCCCATGACGTGGTGAACATCAAATTCTTAGGGAGCATCACTGGCCAAATCTTGACCGCCTTCAGAAGTCTGATGCCTTCATGATTTCTTCAAAACCTTTGACGTCGTATCTTACCAGCCAGCAAACACGCTTCCGGTGCATGATGATATGCCGCCAGATATAGTGATTCGTCCACGACTTTACCAAGGACATCCGAATGAATCACGGACACATGTTTTTCAGGAGGAACATGTCAGTCCGGAAACTACTGTTTTGAGGAGTCGACAAACAGTTAGCAGATGCCGGAACCTATGTCGTTCGCCGTATGTTTATGCAATATCTTTGTGGCAGTTTCATCTGATACCTGTTGTCCCAGTTGGCTTCCGTTTTTCATTCTGCAATGCCTCGTAAACTTACCGACATCCCTGTGCGCCGCATTCATGCTTACTGCCTATTTGCATTTTTCGGTTTTCCGTATCCTTACGTTTCAACATCACTGGTCCCTATTCAATAATGCTTTCAGGAAGCCGTCCATCTCATCGTCCATTTCGTGCTTTCACCGGCTGCGTTATTGCCGAGTGAAACATCTCATCGTCTATTTCGTGCTTTCACCGGTTGAGTTATTGCCGAGTGAATGTTCTGATCATTTCAAAGTGCCTACTGACCGATTTGTTCTTGGATCCGATTGGCTTTTTGGTGCCTGCTGTCCTTATCCATCTATCCCTAGCCTCCGGTGCCCAGTGAATACCAAGTGTGTATAGTCCGGTAGATATCTATCCCCCTGTAAGACCACAAACCTCGCTGACCATAAATAGGTGATAACAGGATTGTGTAATTGAGAAACACGCAAGCGTAAGTTCACTTTGAGTAACCCGCCACTTTATTAGGTTACAAGTCAGAGAACACTTGTCGTGCCTAATCTTTTACTCATATCCACCTACTTTTCCTCTGCACCAATGCAGTATTGTGATTTTGAGAGGAAAGATGTTTATCCCAATCGTTGATCAGTTAGACGATTTTACAGGGCTTCGCTGGAACCATCATGACTGGCATATTTCGTACGGATACTAATTCAGCATTCTCGGAAAATACGGGGCAAATTTCTAGTGAAAACATTTGTGACGGATATGAACACCTTGTGATCTGTATGAACGACATCACTACTTTGTTTCACCCCTTTGTCTTCTTCCGGAGAACGATCGCTTATAAGAGTGCCCCACCCCAGAGGCGAACTTAGTTTGTGAACAATAACATTTGACCTCACTATACAAACCCGCATCTACCCTGCCCTTAAACGACATAACGTAATTCACGTCCCACCTCGGTTGGCCTGTGAAGCCTCACCGAATATTTCCTATATTTTCTTATTCTACTGTTGCAACAAAAGCACTTAGCTATTTTTCTTTATATGTCGAAAACTTTTTTCTGATTGCCACCATTTCAAACATGCGTGGGCTTAAAATAAATAATATGAGTAAAGTCTGCATATTACACAAAGTCCCCAGTAATGACTCCTGGAATGGTGGTCCAGTGGTGAAAAAAATTAGTCCGTACTCTCCATACGATGAAATATTTGTACACATGCTTCCTGGTGACAAATATTATCAATCTTCTTCCATCAGCATACTCCTGAGTGCAGACAGAAAAACGGCGTTTTCATTAACAAAACTTCTGAAACACTTACGTTCTGTAAGAAAAAGCAAACTTATTACTGGAGGGCTATTTGTGTCAATGGGGACAAGTGACATAACCCAACCGCTGTGCACATGCGCTGCTGGGACGGGCCCATTAGTTGCACAAGGCTCTTAGCTACAAAACCTTTGCGAGTGATATAGAAATTTTTACGCTAAAATGTTGCGTTTTGTTGCATATGTGCTCAGACCAAAAACCAGTCAATCCACTTTCATATTTTTGCAGGTCACCGAACTTCACTGTCCACTGAGGCAATCATGCCCCTGGCGGAAAGTCTTGTGAAATACTTTCCTAGAATCGGCGACACCCCGGGATGCCTAGATTGGGCCCAAAAGATTGGGCTCGTACTCTGAACTCAGTTGCCTGTCTCTTTATTCTAACAGGGAAACGCCGTAGCTTTCGAAAGTTCAATTCCATTGTGCGAATACTGAGCGCCTTGCTGGGATTTACGAGACTATTATGTCGTTTATTAAGTTGTTTGTGTTTGTATACTTAATTCAGTCGGCGGAACCTTCGAGGACCGAATTCGGTGATTGGTATGTGTCCCGTTAATGCTGAAGAGCGGTAAGTAAAACACAAGACCATCGAAAATTTGTCTCTAGGAGCGTCGTTAACCAAATACAAAGGCAAAATCAGTATAAATTCTTCCGGTGCTTGATAAAAATCAGTACGATGCTCTTTTTCAAAGAAGATAAGTCATCGTATCGTTTGCGATCAAAATAGAGGCAGTGGAGAAAATTCTCACACGAAATTCCCAATAATCTTTGTTACCGCCACCCTATGTATTATTTACCTCCGTTTCTAATGACTCGCGGGAATCTGCTTTTGTTTCTCTACGAAAAGGGTCACTGTGTTTCGACACTTATCATCTGAAAGTACCACTCTGACTTCGGTTCATTGTGGTGAGATCTTCTTGGCTCGAAATGTGAAGGGTCACTTGTTTCGACATTTATCATCTGAGAGTACCACTCTGACTTCGGTTCATTGTGGTGAGATCTTCTTGGCTCGAAATGTGATATTTTGCAAAAAAATACAACACTTTGTTGCCAGTAGACAAGTTCCTCCGACTGCGATGAAAGCGCGAGCAGGTAGACGTTGCATTCGGACGCCAATGTTATTCGTGTATGGTAATCAACTGTAGTTGCTCCCGAGCCAAGCTGAATAGTATGCAGGATTTTAGTCAATTACCTACATCATACCCCATGCTTTGGAAAGAAGGCAATGATTACAAAAAAGTCATTTAAATTTTACACCAGAAAATCACACTATTTGGGTCACAATTTTGCGAATCCAAGCGGTTAAGAATTTTACGCATCCCAGATGCCTAGCCTGTAAAAAATTAGAGATGAATATCCACAAATGAATAATAGGTTTACTGATACTTTATGCTCTCAGGCGAGTCCACTGAGAGGTGGCGCTCCCTTGGCTGATCAGGCAAATCCTATGTCCAAGTGACTTGAACAGAAGCCTAACACAACTTGCTTCGAAGGATTATATTTCAGAAGGCTTTGCTAGTCAAAATTTCCGTAACATTAATTTTATAATGTTAGAACATGGACACTAGGTTAAACACTACTGATACTTATAAACGAGACGTTCGAGTACGAATGCATCACTCTCATCCACTCACAAAATGCGTAATTTGCTGTTTCATTTGATCAGTGAAACCATCGCAGTGAAACAGCATAAATCCACGCAAGACGCGATCACAGCGTCTTGAATGACTTGGAAAAGGCAACATAATAGGCTAACAAGTGTACCGAGTGGTGACGTGTTACCGGTACTTAAGATCCGAAGTTTTCACTGCCCTCCCCCTCCCCAAAATATCGTTACTCCTTGGTTCTTTGCTCCTCTATTGAGCTGGAGGACTAATAGGCTAGTGTACCGAGTGGTGACGTGTTACCGGTACTTAAGATCCGAAGTTTTCACTGCCCTCCCCCTCCCCAAAATATCGTTACTTACTCGTTCTTTGCTCCTCTATTGAGCTGGAGGACATTCACATGACACGTTTTTGTTTATGACAGCTCCTGGACACCCGACTCCTGGTCCAACTTGGTGCTTCATACAAAAGAGTGTGAAAGGATAGGCGAGGTTCCATTATGTATATA